GGAGTCTGGACTCCAAAGAGAAACTCCAGACTCCAAAGCAATGTAATAAAGTGTTGCTAGTGTGTCTGTAAGCAGCAAAAGCATGTAACTACACTTGTATATTTTGCAGACAAAGGACTTGACAGATACCTTGATAGATAATATGTCGTCTTTGACCAGCCATTCCATCAGCAAACCTAAAGTTGCTTCTTCAAGTAGCTTCTCTTCTGTCCCATCTATGGGTGTTGGAATGGGATTTTTATCACCTGTTGACAGCACAAAGAGAAACATAGCAAATGGACTAAATACTAATATGGGATTTCAGACTTCTGGATTCAGCCTTGGGGCAGGTACTACAAACCAGAATTTCTTCAGTAGTCCAACTGCAACTGGAATGGCCAAGATGAACATGGTACCAACTGCCAACATGCCAAACTACAGCCCTGTGAGTGCTACATCTGGAATCTCACAGCCGACACAACACAACAGATCCCCAGACTTGTCTGCTTTAGATAGTCTTTTTGGTCCTCAAAAACCCAAAGTTAGTATGAACCAATTGTCACAACAAAAACCAAACCAGTGGCTTACTCAATTTGTACCCCCTCAAGGTTCCCCGGGTGCAAGCAGTTCTGTTTTGGGACCACAGATGAACACTCTAGGACAACCTGGTTTTGGTATGCAGGGTAATCCTTTCTTTAACCCTCAGAACTTTGCACAGCCAACAAACACCATGACAAACAGCAGTTCAGCTAGCAATGACTTAAAAGATCTTTTTGGGTAAAATGTCTTGCTTTCTTTTTCAAAGATTGATACAATTTGAATGATGGGTAAGCTGATTAACATCTTTGTATGATTGGTAAAAATTTGACTTGGGGAAACTTTCCACCTAGCAAAATAAAGACTTGTACTGGAAAAAGATTTTGTTTTCAGGCTGACCTGGTAATGCAATAGAATCTCATAATTGTCAAGTTGTCTTATGTGATAAATAATCTTGGCCCTTTTTCCCCAACTTCAGGGTTTTAAGTCAGGCTACATCAATCTGCATACATCCATGCACAAAGCAGAAGCTAAATATTTCATAATTGTTCAGAGATTTGTTCCAAATAGATTTGGATTTGTGTAGTTTTACTCCATAAATTGAACAAAAATGGTTAAATTGTAATAAGCTAATTTATATTGTTTAGTGCCCCCACAATATGCAAGTCTCTGTTCAATGTGTGCTAAATCCTGATGTGGTGTTGATTTGGATATCCTAAATTTGGCATGACCCTGAGTTGTACTATGACACACCATGGGATTACACTGCATCTAATTGTCTGCTTCTTTTAGCCATGTTGAATGAAAATGTCTCTAATCATGTATAAGAGACTAAGGTTTTGAAGGGAAATGTTTTGGCTTTCACTTTATCTTGTTAGAGAGTAAGAAGGATTAATACAGCAGTAGTGTTCAACAAGAGTAAAGTGATAATGGTTATCATTCTAATTCTCATTAAAACAGAATGGAGATTTGGGAGTGAAATTGTGATATTAACTCCTAAGCAATATCCAGTTTAGGACACAGAAAAGCACTGCTCCAATAGTCATGCTAGATTATAACTTGCTCCATGATTTTTGATTCCCGATTTTCAGCACCACAGTAAGAGCCATGTACCATTGATGTTAAGCCTTTCTAAATCCTGCTTAAAACATGGCGGGTAACTTAGTCAATCATGTATGTTGTAAGTGAAATATTTCTGTGTTTTAGTGGCTAAGACGATCTGCCTCAAAATTGGATATAGTTTGCGTAGTTACATGGAAACATTTTGGGTCACTTAACATTTTCCATCTGTATTAGAGGAGACTGAAGAGGACTGCTCAAAACTAGTGAAAAAGCAGTCTGCCATGATTGCCTTGATTTAAAATAAACAATTACTCAGATTTTTTGCTGTCAAACTCTTATGAAGGACAAATGCATATGACGTGAATTCTCAAGCAAAACTGTAAGCACTAGATTTGGTGACTAGATAACTATTTTAAATCCTTTTAATGTATTGCTCCAAATTTAATAAAGTTCTCCAGAAAATTAAGCAGTAGTTTCTTCTGCTTCCAAACAGGTAGATGTTCAGCTTGCCCATGATAGAATCTCTGGTCTGACAGTTACTACAGTTTGGTTTTAACTCTTTCCTAGGAAATTCAGGAACCTTCTTGTGTAATATTTAGAAGACTGGCTATTTTGAGAAGGAAAGAACTAGTTAACTCTTTTTTTTTTTTTTTTATAGAAAACTTGTACTTTATTTTTCAAAGCCTTTTGCTGATGAAATTGTTCTTTCATTTGCTGCTTAAGAAACCAAAGGGCCTTATGCTGTAAATGTGACTTGTATTTTGTTAAATTATATTTCCACAGTTTTAAGCGGTAAAAACGTTAACTGTGTCTTTTTAAAAAAAAACTGTATTATAACTACTGCCTTAGTCCTTTTGTTTTAAAATATCTGGGACCAGTGGGAATTTTTTTTTTAAATGCACATTGTATGTGCTGTTATATTTTTGGTAGATATTGTAGGTTACATTGAATTAGCAGCATAATTTAAATGCGTTACTAGGACTACTGAATGTTTGATACATATATGGTTAATAACATTCTATACTGTGGGTGATCCTAATGTCTTTTTTTATATAAATCAACTTGCACATCTGATTTCTGAGAGATGTACTTTATTAGGGCAATCTAAGGCAAGACTTTGAAGAATTACTTGAGTCTGCATTCTTCTGAATTATGTGGGAAATAAAACAGTGTTAAAAAATTACCACTGTTAATACAGTTTATTGTAAAATCTCATATCCATGGTAGAGATGCACTCAAGCCAAAAAATTCTAATCTGGATTTTGACCACTCCTGTGCTCGTGACCGTCCCACACATAGAGTTTGGGGGCATTAGGATTTTGATTCAGCCTATTAGAGAGAGGGGACAGTTGCAAAATTTGGAATTTTGGGTCCATGGTTTTAGTTGGGCCAATCTCCAATTCAAAGTATAGGGTAGTTCTTTGTAAACTATTTTTATGCTCTGTAGGGTTTATTTGAGAGAGAGAGAGAGAGAGAGAGAGAGAGAGAGACTGTACCAGAGGTAATATACTGGATAAATGTTTCTGTCTGGCTTGAATAATTTGAAATTTTTTTGGTGCAACACTTTGGTGCAAAATTTGTTTCCCTGTGAAATGAGGCATAGCTTCCAAAATCCCCAGAGTTCTATGCCTCCGAAATGCTTCTTGGGCTCTGTAACAACAGGGATTGTTTACGAAGCTGACTCTATCTCCAGCTGCTTTTGCTCACCCCCAAGCACAATGAAGGGTTGAACTGCAGACAGTAGTATAGCATGCAGTCTAAGTTAATACTACTGGATCAGCAATAACCTATATATCTGGAATCCGCAGAGGTATTAGGAAGGGATAGGGGAGAAATACAGAGACAATGTTACAGAAGATGGCCATGCCTCAGGCCTGCCATTTTCCTAGTGAAGGAGGGACTTCCATGGGTTCAAAGGTAAGTTGGGAAGATGGGTCACACCTATACTGCCCCTTCTTTATTTTCTGTATCTGTTTTTTTTCTCTCTCTCTCTCTCTCCATGCATTTAGCCCTCAAATAGAATGGAGATTTGCTTTGAAATTGATATTCGCTCTAGGCAATGTGTAGAAAATATTCATATTTGTTTCACCAAAATAATCATGCACTGGTGTTGTGTTGCCTTGAACAATAATCCAGGTTTTACATTTCTGCCCTTCACACTGAAATGAACTTAAAAAATATGTGCAAACATTGCATGCATCAAGTACATTTGTTTATGTAACTCCCCAATCCTGCACTTAAATCTGTGTGATCAGACCTCCATTGACTGCAATAGAGTTCTGCATGGGTCTGGCTCTTAGTTGAGGATTGCAGTCCAGATGTGTCGTAACTCGTATTTGTTAGAACTGAAAATTGGACTGAATATATCAAAGCAAAAAAGGGATGAGGAAGCAAGTTTCCTTTTGATCCACTTCACTGCCACTTTTTTAGTGTAAAAGACAAAATATAAACACTGGGGAAATATAGATGCATTTCCTCTGTGTGTGAGCATTAGTTGTCGTCCTGCTATTCTGCCATGCAGTATAAATTAGTGACTATAAACCTATTCATAGGCTTCTGGTTCAGACCCTTTTGTACTCTGGAGAATTCTGTGAAAAACAAACAAAATCAGTAAAACAAATTAGCCTTTTAAATGGGGCCACAGTATTTAACGGCTTGAAGAACTTGCTCAACTGGGACTGGCAGAAAGTTTGCCTGGACAAGTGAGCTGAGTGGGGGCCATGGAACTGCCGACTCCTTTCCTGGGAGGGTGGGAGCTGAGTAGCTCCTGAGCTGATATCTTTTTCTGGAATCCCAGAGTGGAAGTGGGGAACAGAGCTGCTGCTGCTTTTCCCCTAAGGGTGGGGGATATGGAGTGGAGCTGCCTATGTGGAAGACCAAGGACCTCTTGCATATGTAGAAGGGTAGTAGCATCCGAGGAGCCTTGCAAAAAGGTACTGAGCATCCATTATTGAAAAGGAGGGCAAATTTAATTGGGGGAGTGGGTAGGGTATCAGTTGACTATGGGGGGCACAGTTGGCTGTTGTGAGGGAGGGAAGATGTGGTAATGTGAACGAAACAGGTGTGTTCTTGGGTCTTGAGGGGTTTGACAGTACAGGTACTTTATACTAAGGCTCAGCAGGCTTGGTCTTTGGACAAATAGGTGTCAAATATTTCAATTTTTGTATTGAAACACAGTTGTTGTTTTTTCTTTAAAGTCTTGTCTTCCTAGGGACCTACACTGTTGTGACACATTATTTTGGAGCTTTCTTAAATACTGCATTTGTCTTTGTAAGAAATGAAAATATGGCAAGGGAAAGATTCATTTGCTGCTGATTTTGTATCATACTTTGTATGTACGTGTATTTAGATGCCATGATACCACTTGTCTTGGTTACATTTCACAGTGAGATCAAAAATGAAATGTGAGAGTATAGATTGAAGTCAAATTTCACCCATCTTCCAGGTAAAAAAAGGATGATTTTCTTTCTCTGCGTTACGATTCGTGTGTGTAAATGTGTTTAATATGCCAATATCTACCTGAATTGCAGAAGAAAGGGAATAGAGTTTCTTCCTAAAATAAGCATATGAACACTTGATCTCAATCTTGGACTTGAGAAGTAACTTCTTTGTGGTGTTTTTGAGTTGATTGGCTTGTGCAGTTCAAGGTTAAAGAAATGCCCTGTTAAAATGTTTGTGTGTTTGTAACCCTGTGTCCATTTTATGTTTGTTCTCTGCAGTGTGAGATTCATTTTATTTACTGATCATTTCTGTTTTGAAACAGCTTTCCGGGTAAATTCTCCCAAACTATCTGGTTTGCAATGAGATTCTGCTTTGTACCTCTCATTCCAATAGGATTTGACTGATGTACAAGGAAGTCACAGGAGACATTAGAGACTAGGATTAGTACCCCCAAGTCCCCTTAACGTTCCAGTCCTTGCAACAAAAATCAATAGAATAAATGGGTCCCTGATATTGAATTGGAAGTGGTTTGTTCTCATAAGTGCTAAAATTCAGGCAGTTCTAACCACTGTACAGATCTTCAGGCTTGAAGTTGTAAATCAAAACTGCTTTAATGTATTATAGTGAACTCGGGCCTTGGGCAGGATATTTAATAGAGTATTTGTTTACTTGTCTAATTGTACAGTCTGTATTTAGTGGCAGTTTTATGTTTAGACTGTAAAGCATTAAAATTCTCATGAAGTGTGTAAAGTGATGTTACTATAGTGTCAGCTGCAATTCACGATCAGCAGAACTGTCATAGCATGACATTGTATTTTGGTTTATTGGTCATCACAGTTCTTCAACAATAAATTTATTCTTGTATCAACTTTTAGATTGGTAATCCTAAAAAAATGTAAAATGCACAATGAGTTTAAAGAAATTCATACCACTTTGTACTGTGAATGAAAATGGTGTAGTTTTGAAATCTGAACGAGGTTGCTTACTAAAATAAATGAATTTTTCATATTTTCATGTTGGAAGTAAAAGTGAATATTTTTATTCCCAGCATTCCATAAAAGCAAGCAATGCGAACCTGTGTGGAAAACTTTAATTATCACACTTCTGTTTGCACTGCAATTGATCCAATTAGAAGGGCATAATACAACCCCGGAATGATGATTAGTCCTGGATTCAGTTTTCCTTCAAGGGGTTGCTGCTGAGGCACCTATGGATTTGGAGCACATGTTGCACACATGCACAGAATGGACATCATGAGATGCAGCAAAGAGCCAGAGAAGTTTGAAGGATCACAGCCAATCTTTGGAAAACATTCACGAATATTAAAACTTTAAAATTAGCATTTAATTTTTGTGTGTCCTCTTGCCATCACTGCATATTAATAAGAGCCATATTCTGTCATCTGTCTTCCCAATGCAAAATTTCTATTGATATTGTTGCTCCTTTTGATCTAAGCAGGTAGCCAGTATTTGGGTCCTTGGGGGTTCTTTCTGTTATCAGGAGAAATTAATGAAAGTCCAGGTATTTGAGTATATTCTTTATAAATAACAGGATTGCACCAACAAAGTCCTATTTCCCTAAACACAGCAGAAGCAAACAAGAGCCCATTTGCTTGCTTACAATTCCAAGTCTCTTTCCAGCCAGCACACTGTCCAATAAAATCTCACTCAGTGGCTTCCTCTCAGGGCTTCTCTGGCTGTCTCCTGGCTTTTTCTGGTGGCTCTCTGCTTCTCATGTATACAATCCCTGGCTTTGCAATCAGCCCTCAGGAAAAACCTCTCTTCTCCTGTTGTTTAGGGATTGTCTACACATACAGCTGCAACCAGTGCTGGTATATTGTGTTCAACTCTGATGTCCGCAATTCAAGAAGGATGTTAATAAATTGGATTAGAAAACATGCTTTGTAGAGACTCAGTAAATTCAATCTATTTAGCTTAACAAGGAGAAAGTTTAAGGGGGGACTTCATTACAGGCTATAAGTGTCTACATGGGGGAAACTACTTGATAACGGGGGTTTTCAATCTATAACAATCCAATGGCTGGAAGTTGAAGCTAGACAAATTCAGATGGGAAATCAGCTGTAAATTTTTAAGTGAGGGTAATTAACCATTGCAACAATTTTCCAAGCATCATGGTGGACTCTCCATCACTCAGTTTTTAAATCGACATTAGATGTTTTTCTAAAGGATATGCTCTAGGAAGTATTTCGGAAAAGTTCTATGGCCTGTGTTATGCAGGCAATCAGACTACTCAATGGTTCTCAAACTGTGGATAGTGTCTTCATTTTAATGGAGTCTCCAAGACTGGTGTTAAACTTGCTGGGGCCAGGGACTCAAGCCCTAGCCCCACTACCCCAGGGCTTCAGCCCTGAGTGGCAGGGCTCAGGCTTTGATCCCCTCTCCTGGGGTCATATAGTAATTTTCATTGTCAGAAGGGGGTCACAGTGCAATGAAGTTTGAGAACCCATGGATTGATGATCATAATGATCCCCTTCTGGCCTTGGAATCTACACCTAAATATTAGTTCTTCGAGTCCTTGCTCATGTCGATTCTATTCTAGGTGTGTGTGCACCCATGTGTGTAGTCGTAAGAGTTTTTTGCCTTTGTGGTATCCAGATGGTTGGCTGTGGCACCCTCTTGAGTGCCACGCTCATGCATTAGTATATTAGGCACCGCCGGCCCTTCACCTTCTCAGTTCCTTCTTACCACCAGTGGTGATTGGTCAGAGCACCTTTTCCCTTGCCTAGCAAGGGTTAGCGGTTCTTTCTCTCTGGTCTTCAAGCCTTGTAAATAGTTTGATTACATCTCATTATGCGCTTATCCAGCAGGCCCAAGACTATGCTGGCTTCAGTACAGCAGAGTTACAAGCCACGTGACCATGAACTCTGAGCCCACCTTGAGGGATACTGCTTGTGAGGCACCTACAATGGAATAGACATGAGCAAGCACTCGAAAAAGAAAAAACGGTTACCTACCTTTTGCAACTGTTGTTCTTTGAGATGTGTTGCTCATGTCCATTCGGTTACCTGCCATCCTGCCCCTCTGTCAGAATTACCAGCAAGAAGGAACTGAGAGAGTATAGGACTAGTGGCCCCTATTATATCGACACATGAGTGCGTCACTCGAGGATGCCACAGACGACCCTATGAATACTGCTAAGGCAAAAATCTCTGACTGTGCACATGGGCGTACACACACCTAGAATGAAATGGACATGAGCAATACATCTCAAAGAACAACAGTTACAAAAGGTAGGTAACCGTTTTGTCGACCTAGCTACATTGCTCAGAATGTGGAAAAATTTTGCACCCTGTGTGACTGAGTTTGGTCAAACTAATCCCCATTGTAGGTGCAGCTAGGGTGACAGAAGAATTTTTCCACTGACCTAACTAGCACGTATCTCAGAGGTGGATGTATGACAACAATGGAAAGGCCCCTTCCCCGGTTGTTGTGTCTACACTACTGCGCTATGGTGGCATAGTTGCAACTGTGCTGCTGTAATGCTTGTTGTGTAGACATTCCTACTGAATCGGAACCACTAGTGGGTGGTAAATGGGGTTATTCAGTAAAGCTCCTCATACATAGTAGGCATAGGCCATATAAAGGGCTATATGTTCTGGCCAAAATGATTCCCTTGATTTTATTTTTTATTTTTTATTTTTTTTGTAATCTTTATAATTGAAGTATACTCTTATTAAATGCAATTTCTGGGTTTTGTATGCTCTTAGTAATAGAGGACTTCTTTCATTGATGTCCCATGAAAGGTGGATTGATTTAAATCACCAATTTTAATCTTGTTTGTAGTTAGATTTCCAAAGAATGGTTGATTCTTAATGACTGGTAACCATAAAAACTAAATTTGATAGTTTTTGCTCACCAGAGGGATGCATTATAGCGGAGGAATAGCTCAGTGGTTTGAGCATTGGCCTGCTAAACCCAGGGTTATGAGTTCAATCCTTGAGGAGGCCATTTAGGAAACTGGGATGAAAATCTGTCTGGTGATTGGTCCTGCTTTGAGCAGGGGGTTGAACTAGATGACCTCCTGAGGTCCCTTCCAACCCTATGATTCTATGATCTATTTATGTAAGCAATTATGTTTCTTAACATATTTATTCAAATTCCTAATTTTTACATTTATTATGTTAGGTGAATTACGCATTTCTTATTTGCTAGATGAGTAATTTTTTATGCATGTTTTGTGTCCAACTGCATTTGGATAGAAATTGGATTAAAATTAAAATGCACATAACAGTATTTCATAGATTTATTTAATAAAACTATGAAATACTATCTTAAATGCACTGGCTATATAAGGGAGAGAAGTAAGTTTATTAAACCATGTTTTGCATTCAAAATTAATTGATTTATTAAACAAAGGAAATATTAACTATAGTTCATAGAGCTAAGCAAATCATTGATTTTAAAAATCTGAGAGAAAATTTGGTTAGTTTAAAAAACTGAATTTTTTAGTGTGGGGTGTTTTGAAAAACAAAAACACTTTGTTCAAGTTGAACAAAACATTTAGAACGTCATTTTTGAACTGACATTTCAAAATGTGAATTCAGTCATTTAATTTCCAAAATTTCCGAATCAAAATGTCAAAACAAACTGTTCGTTTTGACATTTTCTGAAATTTTTGTTTTCTGTTCTTTGTGCCAAACTATTTGCTGTGTTCAACTTGAATTTGTGAATAGTTTCAGTACTATTTGCTGAAAAACATTGCCTAGCTCTAGTAAAGTGAATGGTTTCTGGTCACCCTGACGTTCAAGATTTTAAAACTAATAGATCTCATCATCTCCACCTCATTTTTATTCATAGATTGAAAGAGGAAAATAAGCTTTCCTGCCTTTTCAACTTCCTGATTGGTTTCTTAACTTCAAATGAATTAGGCCTGTCTATGCTGCATAGTTTTGTTGACAAAAGTCAGGGTTCATTGACAAAACAGTGGAGATATATACACACACAATACTCCTCCTGCCGCTTTAACGCTCCTGCTACGTCTACATAATAAACCACATCAACAAGCAGCATAGAGTTTTTTTGCGACAGAGTGATGCAGTGTCAATGTAGACATTACTAAGTGGTCTCCAGGAGGCATCCCACAATAACCATCATGACCGCTCTGGTAAGCAGTTTCTACTCCTCTGCCCTGCAGCCAGGTACACAGGCATGTGCCCCTCCCACTTTAAAGCCCTGTGAATTTTTGAAATTCCACTTCCTGTTTGCTTGGCATGGACAGCTCACATCACATCTTCCCAGCTGACCATGCCAATCTAGCTGTAGGAACTTTGAGCAGATTGCTCATTGCTTGGATGAGAAGGGGCCTGAAAGGGGGACACAGCAGTACTATGCTAAGATGAAGGAACTGAGGCAGGCATACCAGAAGACAAAGGAAACCAACTGTCGCTCTGGTGTGGCATTGAAAACATGCCCCTTCTACAAGGAGCAGCACGCCATCCTCAGCAATGACCCCCATCTACACTGCCAAGAGCCCTGTGGATACTTCGGGGGGGGGGGGGATCTGGAGGCAGTGGCCAGCAGAGTCAACCCCGAGGACGAAGTGGTGAAAGAGGAGGTCGAGTTGGAGGAGGATGTGGGACCGGCGACGATCTTGTCCGGTGGCATGGCAAGCCAGGACATCTTTTTGACTCCGGAGGGGTCTAGCCAGTGCCAGCAGTCTGTCTCTGGCATAACTGAAGCAGGAGAGGGGAGTTCTGGTAAGTATTCATTTTGCTTTGATAGTGCACATAAGGTAGCAGTGTCCTTTATTTTGTTTGCATGGTGCACGTCGGAGAAGAGATTGAAATTAACAACATTAGGTACTGTTTGCGTCTGCTTCACGTTCACGTGCAGCTACACAGTGGAGGCCCTTCGGAAAAATTTATTAATGCACACTGAACTCTTCCAAGAATCCTGCAGAGATCTCTAGGAAACTTTCCTGCAGATACTCTCCAATCCTCTGCCAAAGGTTCCTTGGCAGAGCAGCTTTGTTTCTTTCCCCCATTGTAGGAAACT